GCAGGGCAAAGAAAGGAGAAAAATCTGCTTACGTTAAAGAGATCTTCTGAATCCATAACGTCTCGTGCAGTGTTTACAGTTTCATTTATGTTAGGATAAACTCACTTCTGTGCTTCAAAACGAGTCCTTTAGAGTGACGTGGCCGCTGTACTCACACCAATGGGTGGAATACAAAGATCAAGCACAAGACAGGCCTGGTACGGAGGACACAGTAGGGAAGAAAGAACTCTTTTCCAACTGATCTCTGCTCACTTCACTACCCCAGGAACATGAAGGACAAAAGTTCTTAAAGCAGATGCTTTATATGCAGGCAAATGTAGAAAATTAATTTTTTGCAAAGATAAAAGTTTAGGGGGGGGGAAACACATGAACGCCATGATTAGCTCATAACCCACTTAAAGGTGTCTATAAAGTTCACCTGAAAATGGATAGTTTTTTCTGCTTTTCCACTGGAAGATTTACCAGGGTACTAAGCTGAAGTTATCAAATGCTATAGTAGGAAGAAACGTTTCAGTACAAGGGCACAGCCTGGAGATGCTGGGTTGATCTGGTAACTTGCTACCCATCCAATGCCAGATATGGGATCACCAGACAGCTGAGAATCTGGTACTTTTAAGACCTCAATCTTATACGTAGATGGGGCAGAATTTCAGATCCTGCTCCTCGATGGAGAGAAAAAAACTCACATAAACAAAAAAGATTTCCAGGCCTTGGGTGTTTAAAGGGCTTCACACAGTAAATCAACCTAGGGCTGTCTTGTTTTCTCCACAGCTAGACTGAAATAATATAGCACCAGCAGAGGTGTGAATTACCCCCATTCATCTTAATGGAGTGTTAACTTCAAAGGCTTGTTTTAACCATTTAAATGCTAAGCTCATGAGTAAACATTCTGGTAAAAGAAAAAAAAAGTACAATTTAAACATTCACCCTCAATATACAGAAGTTATTTATAGCCTTAGTTCTTCCTCTTCTAATTTAGCAAACAAGTCTCTACATGTTAGAAAAGTATACATTTGTCCTTTACTTAGGTTTGTTTTAAATAGTTATTACCTAATAAATTATGAACATTAAACCCATACTGAGAAGGCCCATATTTCTCAGGAAAAATTCCAAGGGGTGCCCGGAACAAAGTCTTCTGGTAATCTCAGTGAAAGGGGCACTGCTCTCACTAGCCCTCTTATTAAGTTCGTCTGAACTTACAAAAAAAGTTGTGGCTCTGAACAGGAAATTAGATATGGCGGAACATTAAAGCAAAATAATGAACACATCCACAAATAATGTTTCTTGATTTTAACTAAATTTTGCACAGAGTGTTGAATGGGTGTCTTGTCTCTTGGCCAAACCTCCTATAATCCTCTCTGGAGCAGGTGACAAATGTATTAATTGATGCCCAGCTGTCATCACACTGAACATTTGCCCCAGGGGTCATCCTTGCATCTGTTGCCGGTGTAGGGTAGATTTATTTAAGCAATGAAAACCTATTTGTATTTTGATCCATAATTTCATAAACAGGAAAAGAGGGTACTAGTAGTAGTCCATCAGACTGACTGGTCCGGTGGACCTCAAGATCGATGAGAGGTCCCACCTGGCTGTGCCCCTGGGCCGCAGCAAGTGCCTGGCTTCCAGAGGCCACAGCAGGATCGTGCAGCTGAGGCGGAGCTTTGGGAAAGCACTAAACCCCACACTGGGGCCAGCTCCCCTGTGAGCGCAGACTCTGAAGACGACAGTCGTGCAAGATGGAAGATGAAGACATTCAAGATATATGTCTATGTCCTTGTGGAAAGCAGATGATCGGAGAAAGGAAACATCTCATCTATTAAAAGAGTCTGCTTTGGTCTGCACCTAATTAAAGCCATTAATCCACTCAACACAGCCTTGTATATCAGGCATTAATTCCACCTTACAGATGTGAAAGTAGAGGTGTTGAGAGGTTCAGTGGTGTGCCTTTCACTGAGATGTGGGTCCAAGTCTTTCTTGAACTCCGAAGCTTGGCTTTTCCCATCACATCAAGCTGCTTTCAAGTTGCCAAAGAAGTATCTTTTGATTTGCTCTAAAGAGAAACTTAGTTGTCAATTTCCCAAGTGAGAAGTGAGGGGATTTCCGCACATGAAAATTGTCACTTTGCTGCCATGTCCTACTTCACACGTGTTCCAGGATAGGATTACATTTCTAGTGACACCCCCTGGCTTTAAGAGGCTGTGAACAACATGCCCTTTATATAGAATAGCCATGGGAGGGGCGTCCTCACTTCAGACTCCCATGTCTGCACTGATTTACAGCCTCCAAACAAAACAGATACATCCCTGAAGGTCATATTGGGCAGAAACAGAAGAAAAATATGAAAAAAGAAGAAAAATAGATAAAAATGATCAATATTTTTTTCTCTTAAGTAGAATGTCATGTTTTATTTTATTTTATTTTTTTTGAGACAGAGTCTCACTATGTCGCCCTCACTAGACTGCTATGACGTCACGGCTCAACCTCAAACTCTTGGGCTTAAGTGATTTTCTTGCCTCAGCCTCCTAAGTAGCTGAGACTATAGGTGCCTGTCACAACGCCTGGCTATTTGTTGTTGTTGTTGTTGTTTAGCAGACGCGGGCCAGGCCTGAACCTGCCAGCCCCAGTGCATGTGGCTGGTGCCCTGACCACTGAGAATGGGCTGAGCCATTGTCATGTGTTGCAGTGCAAACAGGAAGCACAGAGAACTCTGAAGGCCACAGCTAGTCGGTTTTATGAGAATATAAAGTTCTGCCTTACAAGGAACAGCAGAGGAAAATCACAGAAGGTTTTGCATAGGATTTGGAGGCAGGGCACAATACCAAGTAGAATAATCAGTTTTGTTATTAGTGATTGACGCTGACATTAACTCACAGGCTAAGATTTGATTTTGTATAGAAACTTAATACACTAATTTCTTAAAAAATAAACAAACAAAAGAGTGACCCAATATAGTTAAGAAAATTAAAAACTTCTGCTCTGCGAAAATCATTGCTAAGAGAATAAAAAGGAAAGCCAAGATCTGGGAGAAAATCTTCTCAAAACACATACCTCACAAAGGACCAATATCTAAAATATACGAAGAAAGCTTAAAACTCAACAATGAGAAAACAATACCATTTTAAAAATGAGCAGCTGCTAGCTTGCGCCATAGTTCCAGCTACTCCAGAGGCTAAATCATGAGGCTCACTCGAGTCCAGGAGTCCAAATCTAACCTAGGTAACATAGTAACAGATTAAGTAGGTTCTCTTATTAAGACAAAAAAATAGGCAAAAGAATTGAACAGATACTTCACCAAAGAAAATAAACAAATGGCAAATAAGCACACGAAAAGATGCTCAACATCATGTGTCCCTAAGGAATTGCCAATGGAAAGAATGTGACACAACTACACATTTATTTGCAAAAATCCAAAATGCTGATGCCAAATGCTGGTGAGGATGTGAGACGAAGGGAATTCCCTTTACTGATAGTATAAATGCAAAAGGTTACAGCCATTTCGGAAGGCAGTGTGGCAGTTTCTAATAAAAGTGAACATATTCTTACCATACACTGCAGCAACTGTGCTCCTTGGTACTTACTCAGACAAGCTGAAAACTTCTTTCTACATAAAAATGTGCACACAAGTATTTCCAGCAGTTTTATTTGTAAATGCTGATACTCAGAAGCAACCAAGAGGTGAATGGAAAAACAAACTATGGTATATCCATACGGCGGAATATTATTTGGTGCTAAAAAGAAATGAGTCCAAGTGGCTAAGGCGCCAGCCACATACACCTAAGGTGGCGGGTTCGAATCCAGCCCGGGCCTGCCAAACAACAATGATGGCTGCAACCAAAAAATAGCTGGGCATTGTGGCGGGCACCTGTGGTCCCAGCTACTTGGGAGGCAGAGGCAGGAGACTCGCTTGAGCCCAGGAGTTGGAGGTTGCTGTGAGCTATGATGCCATGACACTCTACCCAGGGGGACAGCTTGAGGCTCTGTCTCAAAAAAAAAAAAAGAAATGAGTCATCAAGCCTCAAAAAGACATAGAAGAGACTTAATTGCATGTTGCTAAATAAAAAAGCCACTCTATAAGAATACACACTGTGTGAAGTCTACAGAATACGCGCTGTGTGAAGTCTACAGAATACGCGCTGTGTGAAGTCTACAAGAATACGTGCTGTGTGAAGTCTACAGAATACGCGCTGTGTGAAGTCTACAAGAATACGCGCTGTGTGATCCCAATTCTGGGATGTCCTGGAAGAGGCAAAGCCAGGAAGACAGTGAAAAGATCAGTGGTTGCTAAGAAGGAGCCCTGAGTAAGGGAAACTATCAATTTTAGTTGGTAATAACACATCAATATTTGCTCTTCAAATGCAACCAATACACCACACTAATGTAAGACGTTAATAGTGAAAATGGGGTATTGGGAGAAAGGTGTTGTGTGTGAATTCTCTGCACTTTCTGCTCAATATTTCTGTAAACATAAAAGTAACCTAAAAAATAAAAGTCTATTAATTAAAAAAAAAAAAAAGTGACCCAATACATTTCAGAGCATTTTGAGATTTTTTTTTTTTATTTTGATTAAAACTGCTATGCTCTAGGCTGGGTGTGGTGCTCATGCCTGTAATCCCAGCACTTGGGAGGCTGAAACAGGTGAATTGCCTGAGCTCACAGGTTTGTTGAGACCAGCCTGCACCAGAGTGAGACCACTGTCTCCAAAAATAGCTGGGCATTGTGGTGGGCACCTGTAGTCCCAGTTACTTGGGAGGCTGAGGCAAGGGGATCATTTGAACCAAGGAGTTTGGGGTTGCTGTGAGCTATGACACCACGGCACTCTTCCAAGGGTGACAAAGTGAGACTCTGTCTTAAAAGACAGAGACAAGAACAAGAACTACAACAACAAAACTGCTAAGCTCTCACTGTGGTTTTGTTCTGCTTTTCTGTTGATAATTTTTATAAAAATGTTATTTTTCATCCAAGTGTCTTCCAGGGTAATCCCTTCTTGCATATGGAGGTAAATTATTTTTTATAAAAAGTAGAAAAGTATTTCTTTCATTTGTTAATCCAATCAAAAATGATGAGTGCTAAACTAAAATTCCCAACCAAAATTCCAAAGATGAGCAGAAGGAATGCCTGCAGAAGTAAGAAAAAAGATAAAGAACAATTAGTGTATGTTTTAAACCTCTACCTTCCCCAATAATGTATTTTAAATTTTAAAATATATTGACTTTCTTGACCTAGATAAAATAATATAAAACACATTATTTTTTAAAAGAAACAAACAAAACAACCTACCCCAAACTTTTTCCATGAGAGAAAATCTTCTCTGCTAAGTTTAAGATAAAATAATCCTGGGAATATAAAAATCAAACACGTTGATGTACTGGCACCTTTTAGTTGGAAGGAACAAAAAGAGGACATTACTGGACTCAGATGTGAGGGCAACACTTTTATCCATTTTATTACAAGGAGTTTTTGAAATAGAAAACTTACCAACTACACCAAATACATTTCTAATGTCAGGAACATATATTGCAAGTAAAACGATGACAACATTGAGTGCTAGAGTGATCAAAGAATGGCGAATCCATGAGAATGGGGAATTGGAAAAAAGTATCATCATTAAAGCTTTCCTGGCCTATGATACAGAAAAAAATACAGAAAGTGTCAGAGACAAAATATTTGCTCAGAGAAGCACATATATGGTAACCATGATATTCTTGCTCTCTAAACCATTTAGATTCCAAAATTATAGCATAAATTATTGTTATTATAAAGTATTTATACACAAAACTAAGTGTTTATACATATAAACCTTTCTACGTGAGCATCACAAAATTATTTTGCTTTAATTATACAAAAATCTCACATATCATTTTTTTAGTTTGCATAATTTTCTTTTACCAACAATAACAGTATTGTGTTAAAATTTTGAAGAATCATTTTCATTAAGTCTAACAGATAGAAAAACAAATGATTTAAAATAGAAGAAGAAATTGTACCAAGGGAAAGAAACACCCTTTACTATTTTATTTTAGATTGTATTTCACAGCATATAAATATGAAAAATACCACAGAAGAACCTCTGAAAGTTGATCACCCAAGGAACTATAACAAACTGGTCAATATATAGAGATGGTCAATGTGAGAACTAGGCCTTGGTTCATGTGGTGCATGTCTGGTCTGTGAACTTAAGGAGGGGTCAAGGTAGGGAGGTGGTCACCTATGGAAGGTCTACTACTTCCCACTGCTAAGGTGGTAGCAGGCAGTCAGGTCCCACAGAAGTTTACCCGGCCCCCGTTATAATCTTGGCACTGTAATCTGCCCAGGAAGGAGGCAAAAAATCTTGATGTCTCAGTTCTTAAATTCACTGTTTAAAGAAAGACTCAAGACATCTAAGCAGAAGCATTTACACTAAAAGCCTTTGTTTCTGTTTCCTCAGAAAGTCTTGAGGATCCTTACATTTAGCACCCAGATGAAGAACACGAATCTGTTCTGCTCCTTAAATTATAATTCTAGAGCAAATAAAATATTTTGATTGAGACTAAACTAGAATGTCTCTGTGAAAACAAATGTACAGTAAAGCAGATGGAGCTTATTTTTGCTGACTTAACTTTTCCCTTTTCACACACATTCTTTCAAAAACAGAATATAGAATTAAAGGGGGGGAAAAACCCAAAACTGAAGAACTACAGTTTCTAAATTGGAAACAATGCAATGGGAGGGCATAAATCTAAACTAAATCTCAAAAAGCACAAATTAGCTCAGCGGTTCACTGTTATCTTTGTACTTTCATGGGACCATAGCAAGTAGGAGGTCTTTCATCAGTTACTTTGCAAATGAATAAGATATACAAAATGGGTGTGATTCAAAGGTTCTACTCTGCAAAGAATTAGCATCACCCTATTAGGATGCCCCCCCACTAAGCAACAAAACCGCTGGAGAGCACTTACTGGGAAGTGGATTAGCGGGACTGTCAGAAGCACAGCGAATAGGATGCCCAGCTTCACAGTCATGATGACAACATCGTGTGGCAAGTACTTACTATAACCTTGGAGTAATTCTGACTCCACTTTGTCTGTAAGTAAAAAAAGAATAATAAGATTCACCTTATAAACTATTAAGATGTTAATAACAGTAAAAATGATTTTCCTCTGCGCTAATGGACCTGAACAGATTTTTGATTGCCTTCACCTAACCCATCTCTGGCCTTTTTCCTATCCTGTGAAACAGAGTCATCTTCAAACCTACCATCCTCTTTTTTTCTTTTAATAATATGAGAAGCCAGCACAGGCAGAATCTCTAAAATTACAACCGTGAATGGAATGTAAAAGTATCTCTTTAGAACTTTTCCATCATCAGAGGGTTTTGAACATTTATGTTGTTTTTAAAGCACTGTCACAGGTATTGTTGAATAGGCAGGTGGGCTCAAAAATATTAAATAACTTGCCTAAGATCACACAACACAAAGGGGCAGAGCCATTTTTTTTGTTGCCAAAGCTTATACCTTTTCCTCAAAACCACAATGTTTTCTAGGATCTTACAATTTTGTTCAGGTTTTCTGCTTCATCAACATTTCATCTATGGAGTCATCTTGCATAAAAAAGAGAATGAAGTGGGGGGAAATGGTTACTTTGTAAGCCAGTGTGGTAGTCAGCAAGGGAGTGATGCGTGCTGACCAGGCTTCCCTCCATGGCCTTCTTCCATTCTCACCCAGGCAAGGGGGCTCAAGAATACTGCATATCAATGTCTGCAGATCAGTTTGTACTTAAAATAGAATGGTGCTTTTTAATTTGAGAGTATATGGTTTGGAAAGGCTGCTTTGAGAGAAATAAAAATAAATCAAACATACCTCTGTTCTCAAGGAACTTAAATTTTAAAGTGGAGATGACTACCTACAAATATACTAGAAAGTGTACACACCTGTACACACGTGTGGCAAAAGAATGGGCCTGGGGGTGTCCAGCATTTTTCTTCTGTGGCACATTGGAATGATAAGAGTTGTTTGGAGCCACATATTAAATAAACAATAATGAAAGCTGATGAGCACAAAAAAAAAGTCCATGAGTACTTTTCATGATATCCGCCACCACAGAAAAACAAAATGGTCCTCACATAATCTACACGTGGCCATGGGCTGTAGGTTGGACACCCCTGGAACAAAGCTACAGAGATTGTAAACTGCAGCATGCAGAGCAATGCTCAAATACTACTCTATACTAGCAACCTAACCACTCTGGGTCTCTCAGTTCCTGTACCTTTAAGATGAGGACAACAATATATTGAACACAGGGTTACTGAGAGCATAAAGTGAGTCAGTGTACATGTGCTGACATTCAAAGGTGTAGGGAAGAGATTCTTCAGAGCAGCACAGGCGACAGCCTTGCAGTAGCAAGGGGAATGCACATCTGAGAAAAAGACGAGTCCCTTCAGTACTCTGTGGCTGGACTACAGGGCTGGACATGCATTAAGACCAAGTACCACAGCTCCGTGCAGGGTCTGGACTCCATCTGGTAGGCACAGAGATGCAATAATGACTTACAATAAACAGGGCACTATAATCCGAACTAAGCAGGAGCACAAACTGGAAAAGGGAGATCCAGACAGGGATAACAAGCTACTGTCATAACTACTGGGAGGTAATGAGAATGTGAACGAGACGAGTGATAAAAACGGAAAGAAGTGAATTAAATGAATGTAAAGACCTACTTTACACAACATGGGACTAACCGACTAAATGGGAGACCAAGACAAGCCAGGAAATCTGGATTCTATTTCCAAACCTGTGAGATACTTGTCTTTGGAGAAATAGAGCAAACTATTTCATTTCCATTTTCTGAATCATAAAATGAGCTATTAACACTTTTTGCTTAACAGCCTCATAGACTTTTTAAGTGGTCTGGTCATTATGCAACATTCGGGCAGTGGCCTGGCTCACCAGAGGAACAGCTTTCTCTTCCTTACCATACGACACTTTAACATCTGTAACCAGAGGCAGTATTACCAACCTAGGTACAGACGTCTAGGTCTCTTTAATCTGATGAAATTCAGAAATCAAGTAAGCCTTGGGAGCTCTGTATAAAAGGATCCCAAACAGATCCTGAAGCTTTAAGAACTAGATAACAAATTCAAAATGTAAGTCACATGTCCACTTTCTACTTTCCCAGGATGAACACATTGCTTCCTAGCCAGCCATTCTGTGCTCTTGGCTGAGCCTTGCCGTATGTGAGAGACAGACGACAGCATGCTTCTTTGACTTCAGACAAATCTCAGAAAGGACCTGGTAGTGATCTATGCAAGGCATCTATGCCACTGAAGTCAGGAGGCTGTTCTGTTAATATACACTGTCAAACAGGGTAATAATTTTACAAAGATTATCCCAAAGTAGCAGAAAGAACACTGGATTAGTATTCAGGCTGCCTCTAATTCTGTGGCCGGTCACTTCACCTCTTTGGGCTTTAGTTTTCATTTATAAAATGAACTGAAAGGCTTAACTCAAGGTTAGCCCTTCTGATACGATCTCAGGCTCAATTAGCAATTTCTTCCTATAAGAAAGAGCTCCTGTTATCCTGACAGATACCATGGAAGGCTGTTCTTGGTTATGACTGATAATCTCAAAGGAGTTACTGCAAAGAGCAAATCAGTATCTGCATCTTCTGTCTTTAGAGAAGAAATTGTTTTCATGTGATTTATCCTATCTATATACCTATAAATAATACAACTACCTATAATGTGGTTTTTCTTAGATGTCTATTTCAACATTATATAAAATATGGGTGGTCTGAAAAATTTGCATTGGTAGAGAAAGGATTAACTCAGAGCCAATGCAACAGCTTTATGTGATAACCAAGCGAATCCCTGTCTAGCAAACATTTCATTTACAGGATGAAAACCTTTAGTCTTTGTGTCCAAGCAACAATAATAGACAGACAGACAGACAGATGGATGCCTGGAGCTTAAGTGAGCTAGATTTTTCCAAAAGTTTAACAGAAACCTGGAATGAAGGAAATCTGAGCTCTAAGGCATAATAAAGACATTGGCTTTGAAGACAGACAAGACCAGATTCAAGGTCCAACTCCGTTATTCATTAGCTGCAGGTGTCTGATCTAATTACTCAACCAAAATGAATGTATCTCACGTACCAACCCTGCAGAATTGTTACAAGGATTAAGTTAGGGAAAGTATACAAAATTATTGACATTTAAATGTTAGCTCAATAAATGTATTAGCATCCATCGCTCCTCCACATCCTTTGCAATCGAAGCTTTCTTACAACTTAATACATCTCCTAAGCACCTAATAGTGATTCATGCGACTATTTCTCAACCATCTTGGATACTGGTAAGCATCTGGAGTTTATTCCAGACAGCTCTGTTTATCTCTACAGAAGAGGGAGGAAGGTGTTTGGGGGGCTTTTTCTCAATGTTGAAGATTCTTAAATATAATAGTATTTGTCTCAGGTGAAAATTTTAATTTTTTAAAAATACAACTATTCTGCTATACTAAATCTTTCTGAACCCTAAAAGACTCTGCTACAGTATCTTATTGATACAGAAAATTCTTATTGAGTTAAAGTCTGCATAAAACAAGCCCAACAGCCAAAAATTAGTTTATGTATTTCAAGAGTTTTGTTTTACCAAAAATGTTTAGAAAAGTTGGACAGTCTGTTTTGATTACCTCTGCAGCGCCTCCACCAGGCTCGGGTTGGGAATGACGCTCTTCACAGAGCTCCGCCCCTCTCTCCCCTCTCACTCCTCCTCTGTACTCGGGTTGGGGATGACGCTCTTCTCAGAGCTCTGCCCCTCTCTCCCCTCTCACTCCTCCTCTATACTCGGGTTGGGGATGACGCTCTTCACAGAGCTCCGCCCCTCTCTCCCCTCTCACTCCTCCACCAGGCTCGGGTTGGGAATGATGCTCTTCACAGAGCTCCGCCCCTCTCTCCCATCTCACCCCGCAACAGTGTAGAAACGCAAAGGCAGATTTAGATCAGTGAGTGATCTTTATTACTGTTGAAATAATATAGAAATAGCTAGAAAAGAAGAACTATATAATTATAATAATTTTTTCACGAACTAAAAACTCCAATATAGCATATATGCAAAAGTTACCTCATTTAGGTTAAATTTTATTAAAGATACTATTAAGTATCTTGTTGACAGAGCATCTGAAAGTATGAAACAATTACAATAATAATGATAATAGCAACACACCACTAGCAGTTGCTCTCAATTTGTAGAGGACTGTTAAGTGCCAGACGCTGTGAGAGGCATTTCACACACAACTCATTTCCTCCATGGTACAGTTATCCCCATGTTACAGACTAGGAAATGAGCATATTGCAAGGTGAAGTATTCTGTTCAAGGTCATTCAGTTAGTAAGGAGTTATCTGGACCATATTTGTTAGATTTCAAATCCCACACTCTTTCCACTGTGTTTAAGAAAGGTAGTTGTATAAGTAAATATTGTCCAAAAACTGTCAGACTTAGAAAATCTCTAGGCAATAAGTGCCATTATCATTCACTAAGAATGTCTAAAACCTGAAACAAGTGCACAAGGTCTCAGAAATCAGAGTCATGATAGCTAAGTATCATCCAAGTTGTTATGAAAGTGTTCACAAACTAAAAAGTATATTCAGAATTTGGCAAAGAGTATAACTTGTGTTATAATGTGTTTGTTTGCAAATTAAATAAGCATGTTTGTAAATTAAACAAGAGCGTTTATCAGCTTTTTCTTGTTCTAGATTTTAAAAGTTTACTTTTTCTTGAGATTGTTATCAGAAGAGAAAAAAATTAACATACCAAGCAGAAAATTTTTCCAAAATAAGTAAAAAAAAATTTTATTTTGAATCTTGTGGGAACCTAGTCTTTTAAAAAAAATTATGGAGAAAGCTCACAATGCATCATAGAATACAGCTCTGCTTACCCTATGACAGGTACGTCTGAGGACAGACAGGGCTGGCAGCTGAGTGCCCAACGACAGTCCAGTGTAAAACCCTCTTTTCTCAATGTCTTCTTCTGCAGTTAAGAAGACTGACTCTCCCAATCCCATCATCATTGCATTTTTTCTTGCCGAAACACATTAGTGTTCCTAGGCTTAAAGTTTTACTTAGACATTTAAGAAAATTTTCATATGGAGTCATTAATCCACCTTCCCAAGACAAAGAGAATCAAATATTTAAGGCCCCAAGAGCCACCACAGAACTGCATTGGAATCTGACAGTTGAAAAAATTAACTTAGCAAATAAAAGACAAAAATAAACTCAGGTGTGAGATCATCCTTGTAACTATTTGTTCTGTCATCCATAATTTAAAAATGTACTCACCATAAAAAGTAAGGTACCCAAAGAGCGCAGATATAAAATAAATGAGAAAACTTAAAGCAATGGCTGTATTGGTTACATTTTGCATTCTTTTCTTTGAAGGGCTAAAAGATAAAAATGGTAAAAGTAGAATCAGTGATCCCAGTTACATCTAAAGAAACAAGTATCCCCAAAGCTAGTCAAGAGGACTCCTCAATCATTTAAAACCTAGTCCATCAATAACTATATACTAGAATTCCACACAAATCACATGAAGACATCTCAGTCACACAGGGAGCAACAACGTTGAGGACACGGAGGTAGACGGTGGAGTGACAGATACCAGAGACAGGGAAGGGGGTGTTGGTGAGAGGAAGGAATAAAGGGAGGTTGGTTAATGGGCACAATCATAATTAGACAGAAGAAATCAGTTCTAATGCTTATTAGCAGAGTAGGGTGACTACAATTAATCATAATCTATTATGTATTTCAACTTAGCTAGAAGAGAGGACTTAGAATGGACTCACACGTAGGAATGATAAACACTCTGTGATGGAAGCTGAATACGCTGCCTTAATCAGTACACATTCTATACATGTAATGAAATCTCACACGTACTCCATACATACACAGGGTGGCCATAAAGTTCATGAGCAATTTAAAATAGACAACACTTTAACTTGCACACGAACTTTATGGCCACCCTGTATTTGCAGTATGTACAAGTATAATGTATTAAATAAATAAATAAACATTTAATAAAAGACATCAGTATACAAACATTACACTTCTAGGACACACTCTTATCGTGCACGGGACTAACTCTTGGTTGTTTTGTTTTGTTTTAAACTAACACTTAGAATACCCTGATAGGAGGAAAGGATTCACAGAGGAAACCGCCACTCAGTCAGAAAGCCCTAGAGGTAAAAAGACATACAATACATTTAAACTATTCTGGGATTCTATGATACCTTTGAAGTTCACAGTATATGGGTAAGACTGAGGTATGACAGAGAAAGGAAAAAGCCATGGTTGGTATGGCGTAAGCACTCTGGAAGAAAATTTTAAAAGACAAAATTATTAAATGTTGCGTATTGAAGCCACTTTTTCATTTGACAACAAACTCAATTTTTTAGGAAATTAATCTGATTAAATTTATTTCATCTTTCACAAGCCATCTCTTTTTTTTCATAAGTCATATCTTTATAAAATAGGATTTTTTTTTTTTTTTTTTTTTGTAGAGACAGAGTCTCACTTTATTGCCTTTGGTAGAGTGCTGTGGTGTCACACAGCTCACAGCAACCTCCAACTCCTGGACTTAGGTGATTCTCTTGCCTTAGCCTCCCAAGTTGCTGGAACTACAGGTGCTCACCACAATGCCTGGCTTTTTTTGTTGCAGTTTGGCCGGGGCTGGGTTGAACCTGCCACCCTTGGTGTATGGGGCCAGCGCCCTTACCCACTGAGTCAGAGTTGTTGTTCGGGTTTTTTTTTTTTAAGACACTCCTATGGTCACCAGTCAAATGTTCTACTTGACAGCTGCCTTGCTGTACTCTCCAGAATACTTTCTGACTGGTTCTGCAAACCACGCTGCTTTTATTACAATAACTGCTTCTTCTATGTTATGTAGGTAAGATTAAACAAATTTAGGTAAGATAAAAATAACATTTTAGATATATTATAATTGTCTTTCCCAATGAATACACAATTTAAATACAAATTACTACCATAAGAAGCAATTACAGTTAATGCTTTTGAAACCTGTTTTCACCAACTCAATCTAAGAGAATGTCACCATCTCCATCCAAGGGAACACTGAGAGTATGAGTCACCCTGCAGAACTGCCAGCATCTTTGATTAACATACTTTTTAATGGGAACAAACATCACTCACTAAGACCTACAAACTTAAAAGATCCAATGGAATACAAACGTATAGTGTTTTGTTTTGTTCCTATTATTAGAATACTTAAAAAGAGCCAGAGGAAATTACGAAGCAAAAACAGTTACAATCTAAATGGAAATACTATTTTTACCAAATGGATAATGGTGGTTAATTTTCACTTTTTCTGCTCTAAAAAATTTCCCCTTAATTAATTTTAGGCTCTTCAACAAAAGAAGTTGCAGATGATGAAGACTTATCTTGAGATATAATGCCTAGACTCCTAAAATATCTAATGGAGACCAGGAGGAAGGAACCTGTATTTCCTGAGGCCGGAGTAGGGGAATGACAGTTTAATTCACAAAATCTCTTTCATATATTGCCCAATTTCCTTGTTTGTCAATTATTCCACCTGCATCTTTAAGGTGCATGGAGGTCTTCACCATATAAGAGATGTGGTAACCTCCCTTGTGAAGCCGGAGAGATACTTCTTATTTAAAACCTAGAGATAAAAAGGAAAATCCTGCATGGAGAAGTGCCCACACTAACGTTCTATGCTAATATAGTGAGTGGAAGAGGATCTAGCGTGTGAAATCTATAGAACATGTCTCAGCAGCATCAGAAAGTGCAGTAGCTGGGCGGGCTGAGCTCTTCTAGGGCAGGAAAGCAGGGCTGTCCAGATCATAGTTCTGTGTCCTCTGCTGATGCTCAGGAGCCCTTGCAGCATTTCCAGCATCCCAGGGCTCTTAGAGAAGTTAAAGGGATTTCCTCTTCTGGTCTCTGCTCCAGACGTCATAAATTTCAACTTTGGAATGTTGGCCAGAAGACATATTGGCAGGGCTCAATCACTGCTCCAATGATGAGGCTGTTTAGCTACAGACGAAGGTTCTACTCACAGGGGAGGAGTTTTTGATATAATTGGCTATTTAGCTTTACAAGTCCAGAGGGCAACAGGAAGTCTGTATCCACAGAGGAGCTTATTGGCCAGACCAGACATTCGGTAAATCTGTTCTTTTAGGCAGAAGCCCATTTAAAACAGGCTCCATTTAAAGGCATGCCAAGAAAAAAAAAGGTGGCTGTTTCATAATGGGCCACCCTGTGTTAAATAATAGTATTCTTCTGGTAGGCAATCCTATACTTAGCACTTACATGAAAATTAATTAGTTACAGGTACAAAGACCTAAGAGACCCTGTTACACAAACCTCTTAAAACTTGAAATGTGAAAAATCAACCAAAAGTATCTGTTAATAACTTACACACCTCTTTGGAGAAATGAAAGAGCTCTGGTTTACAATCATCTGTAGCATTTGGAATCTGTTTAAGAGTATTGAGGGGAAAAAGAAAAACCAACAGCCATTAAAATTCAGAATACCTCAACAAAAATGATGAATTTCTTATTACTAGGTTTTTAAATCAAAATACTTCAAAACAAAGTTCTAAAATGAAATATAGCTATTACTTTTTCATTAGTTAAGAAAAAGAATCATTATTCTATTTTTAAGAAAATTTTTAGTTTAAAATAAAAAGGTAGAAACTATAAAGAAATAAAGACTGTTACCTGGAAGCATTCCTTTAAGTGATTTGATGCCAGTGGACAAGGGATGGACCATTTTTTAATTATTATCTGTAAAAATAAAGAGAATCAGCACTCAGATTATATCCTATTAAATTAATAAGAAATTGATATAAAAATAGATCAGCATGATTAATCTAATACCATACTAAATAAGATGCTAACAGAAGACTGTTGGTTATATAATTTTTCCTGGTTAGAATGGGGTCATCGTTTAACAGGGTCATCTGTTGGATGACCCTGGTGGAGGGTGGAGGTGTGTGGTGGGGACACAGGGTGCTCTGTGTGCTCCTCCATTTAGTGGGGACCCCCAGTAATGACTGACAATACTCTTCAAAAACCAACAGCATCAAGGTATTTTTTTAAAGTACACCTCAAAATGGGAACATGATACTTTAGTGACAGTTTTATAAGAATACAGTCATTTATGAACTTGGTCTTAGTAGTGGACAGAGAAATACACAGGGTGCCAAAAAATGCATACAGATTTTAAGAAAGGAAAAATCTGTATTAAATTTGTTAATACTCAATATACATCAAAAGTGTTGTATCTTGTATCTTCTGTACATGGGTCATTGTGAAAGTTTTGAGATACACAATCAAGAAATGTAAAACCTGTGTGGACAGAAACAACTGTCCTTCCAGCAACACCCATGAGCAGCGCAAGCTGCACTGTGTACAGATGAGCCCGTCCCAAAGGACGCTGTCGACTGCGTTTCTTGGAAGTAAAATAATGGACTGTATGTAACACAGTTTGTCTCAAATCTTTCATACTGATCTATGTAATTAAAATTTTAATATAGTTCTATCCTTTTTAAAAATCTGTATAGATTTTTTTGGCACCCTCTGTATTAACAGCAGTTTGGGGGAAGGTCACCGGCAGAAATAAGAAGACCTTAATGCCAGTGGTTCTCAACCTTCCTAATGCCACAACCTTTAATACAGTTCCTCATGTTGTGGTGACCCCCAACCATAGAAACTGTATTAAAGGGTCGTGGCATTAGGAAGGCTGAGAACCACTGTCTTATGCAAAGGAGGAGCTCAGGGGTTTCTAATGGATATGTAAGTGCTGCTCCTACTTACTTTTACAGATTTATTTTTTTTAATTTTTTTTTTTTGCCAAATGTGGAGAAAGCTGGCTCGAGTCAGAGCATGTAACTAGGGAACTTCAGCTGCTAAAATAAATTTTTAAAAACACTGAAGGAAATCCAGAGGGATGCTGTTTCCCAGAATTAATCAATGAAAATGTTTCAGGACTTTCCTCTTAATTGTGGCCATCCTGTTCCGAGACCCATACTTGTGGCTGTGTCAACATCACCATTGCTGCCTTTCTTTCAGGGCATATAATTACTCAGTAAATGTTGGCTCCAGGCTGAATCCCAGCACACAAAGGGGCAAGGGAGAATCAAGGAAGTATTTGTCCTTTGCCAGAGACCAAGAAGTAAACACTATTCTCATTCTCATTTGGCATTTACCTAGTTTTGGCGTTTTCATTAATTAAATCAAAATTTTATACAGTGATAGAACAAATCTAAAGAAAACATTTTTAGGAGTAAGTTAATGAGTGAAGTAAAGAATCATTCTTAATTAAAGATCTCACCCCAAAACTTGATTGTATAAGGATAAACTGGGCAAGTTGCTTTGAACTGTGAAGTTTCCAATAGGAAATAAAATTTGTCAACTTACTATATGAAGAGGAAAGAACATAATCAAAGCAATAATCTTTAAAAAATTTTTTTTTTTGATGAGGTCTCAATTGAAAAGAAAAAAAAAAGGACAAGGGTAGAACCAGGCAGAAGCCAGAGAATGATCAAGGCTGTTACTGGTCTCTCTCTTCGGCCCTGCTGAAACTGCTCCAAACCCAGTCCCCCACTTTTCTCCCTTCCTACTACTGGTGATGTTGGCAGAACAGCCACTACTTGGGTACCTGCTGTGAACTGGGCACCTTGTTATCAGCGGTTATTTCTCTGTAAATCCCAGGCTCCAGCCTGCATGGTGGTACAGGGTGGAAAGAGATAATGGCCCACAAACCAGAAGTACAGAAGGGAAAGAGACCCAGTGGCAAGGAGAGAAGGTTAACAGGGAGTCACTGCTCAGGCTGAAAACAGAACTTGGTAGGAAGATAATTCCGGAGGTTAGAAAGACAAAAGGAAAAAGGAGATAATGAAAAATAGGTGTTTACTTGTACAAACGACCTCCGTTAGCTCCCCTGCTAGATTGACATACTCACACAGGGGCATCCAGGTGAAATGTACTTGCTCTCTGATGCCTGGCACCATGCTCAATAGAGGGGAAGCTTTGGACTAATATTCATTTAAACAGTTCCCTATTTTGATTAGCGACCTATTGAAATATTGTTTAGAATACTAATCTGTATTTAAGATAGGACTTTTGGAAAGAATGACTATCACTTGTGTTTTAAAATGCACCAAAAAAGTAAATTTACCCCAAATTTATCTGGTTACCATCATTCTGAGCCACCAATAAAATTTTTTGTTAAAATTTTAGGTATTTTAGAGGGGTAAAATGTTTATGTTAAAACTTTTAATGAAAATAAGAATCTGGGAAAATAGATTTACATTATTTGAAGAGTAAAATTAAGAAAATGATAATTTTCTAGATTGGTATTTTAAAAATGTAATATAAATGTTTATACCTATTTAGAAACGTTTCTGACAAGAAGAAATCAATACAAAAATGGGCATCCTTCAAAAAATTCAGGGTTAGCATACATACATGTTTCCTTTTCCTGTTATTTATTTCAAAAGTAACATTTAGAGAATATGACATAAATATGCCAATTGAAAAGAGCATTTAAAAAAGTATACAAAGTCATTTTCATTGTCCCATTGCAGATTACACTGTGCTCAGAGGTAAAAATCTGAGCAGATGTTTATAAGGCATTCCGATACATGCAGAATGAGGGTATCACTTCCATACGACTGCTACAAGAGAAATCTGCATCGAATTAAAGAGTTTTTGCCATGATAAAAACAAAACTACAGCAGACATAGTACATGAATACATTTCACCTGCTTCAAGCTATTGGTTATGAAAACTAAATTAATCCGATCTACGCAATGCTTGAATTGCCAATTATCTGGTGAGAGAAAATTCCATATATTATCTATACTCTAGACTGCTTCTTTTTAACATTCACATGTTCATTTGTGCATGTAGGGCACTCCTAACCATGTGTCTCTTGATAATCAAATTATAATGAAAATATTTACTGTTTCCCTCTTTAATATGAAGCCTACAAAGTATACATTTCATTCACTTATTTGCAAGATACAAATCAGACAACTGGGGAAGGAGAAGGAATGATTTCAATATTGATAGATTCAACGAATGATTAAATTCAAACACTTAAATATTTTTAGTTTTAAGAGCATTCATTAGATTATAAATATCTGCATACACTGAAATCAGGCTGGCTTTCACTTTTTTTAAATAACTTAAAATTGTTTTATCCTTATTTCTCAGAAGATAGTTTAGCCCAAGTTAATTGTACCTTTGGTTGTTTTGACAGCTTTGAGATAGATACGCTGTCTTGCTGTTACATATGGCAGTTTTCTTTCATTCATTTCTTAATAACAAAGCAGAACTCAACCAAGCTTATGAAAAGGCCATTTGGATAGGGATATTCTTGGCAAGTTACAAATGTTTAATACTACTTAAGGTTTGACATTTAGCTACTGATTATGGAGTAAATTGCCACATAAAGAGATTTTTAAATAATTGCACATAAAAAATGCTATCTTTAGGATAAGATCTTTTTTTGAAGGATTAAAAGGAAATAAATTCAAATAGTCTTTTATCTTAAATTAGTTTATAATTTCTAAATAAGTTAAATTTTTTTTAATTTTATTTTTTTAGAGACAGAGTCTCACTTTGTCACCCTTGGTAGAGTGCCGTGCCGTCACAGCTGACAGCAACCTCCAGCTCTTGGGCTTAGGCGATTCTCTTGCCTCAGCCTCCTGAGTAGCTGGGACTACAGGCGCCTGCCACAATGCCCAGCTATTTTTTTTGTTGTTGTTGTTGCAGTTTGGCCAGGGCCACATTTGAACCAGCCACCCGCAGTATATGGTGCCGGCGCCCTACTCGCTGAGCCACAGGTACCACCCAAATAAGTTAAATTTGTTATCTGATACTTTCCTACGTTATAATACAAGTTAGTTAATTCAAAAATAAGAATATGTCCCATATGTAAAAAAAAAAAATATTTATTTGCAATAGTGTCTTTATGAGAACTTAGCTATGCTGAATCAACCAGACCAGAGAAGAGAACCCAGGCCCCCAGTTCTCACTAGATCTCCTCAAAAGCGAAAGTCCTAGAAGCTCTGGTTTCATCAATGGAACAAAGTTTCAAAATTAAGATGCATAGTATCAAACTGATTTTATAGATTACACCCAGGGTGATTCTTCATCTAATATCATACAGAAACAAACTGATATACTTACATGAAGAATTATAGTCCTACACAAAACAGTTTTAACAGAGTTGGCGTGCTCTCTCTCTAGTTTGCCACATGGGACTCTAAATTTGAAATGCTGCCCTAGCTAAGCCTCTTCAAAATAGATACAATGGAGGAAATCATTCTGTGGAACAAAAATGCTTTTAATAACACAATGAAATAAAATGGAATATCCTTTCCAAAACACCACGTTTAAAAGAAAAAAGGCATTAACGCAGCAAGTCCAATTTTTGTGAGGAGATAAGCAATGCATTATATTTTAAACTTACCACAAGAGCAAAGAACACCATAAAGAAAAATGATAAACTACTTGTGTAGCCAAGAAAGCCTGTAAAATAACAGTAAAATAAAAAGCAATTTATAAGGAAAGTGATCTTAACGTACTACTAAAGCTATACATCTTGGGTATGTTTTCTATTACAGTACTTGGTATCTGGGGCTTAGGGCTCAGAATAACAACATTCCAACTATCTGTCACAGATCATTTATGCGGCTCTGTACAGCAGAGTTGGAACTGGCTTACCACTAATGGTACGCTGTAAGGAAAGGCTGCTCTTTAATGTTCCACTGTAAAGATTTTATTTTACTGGGGCAGACAAAATACTACTGCAAACCAAGTAATAGGTTAACTAGGCAGGACTGAAGGCTGAACAACCTAAAATAAGGCCAAGTTTAAAATTATTCACAACCACCACCCTCCGCCAAAAACGTGGTACTGTAAAATTTAAAAGCCCCTTAATATTTCTCTCCCTCCCACTTCCTTCACCCCCTTCCTTGCTTACCCTCTTTCTTTTTTCTAAATACACTATGCACTCTTTTACAAAGACTTACCGATTTTGGGAAGAAGTGCAAGAGGGAAGACGACACCAACACAAATAATTATTAGGAGCGTTGGTCCATCAAGGTACCAAGACCTATTAGAAAAAAAGTTCTGTTTTAGGCCCAGGACTCCATTGTTTGTTTATACTTACGACCATTACAACTACCCGGTAGGAAAAGACTTTAGCCTTTTGTTAAAATGTTCTTGCGGGATCCTATTAATTATTTATGAATTTACATGTATCAAAATGGTGAGATTTCAGTTTTCAACTATCAAATTACGAACTATTTAAAAATAAGGTAACAAAGTTGGTGAGGGTCATGAAGTGTGCAAAAAATGGTAAAAGTATAAACTATATATTTCTGGATAGTAATTTGGCAATAAATACACAGAACCTTCAAATAATTATATCCTTTAACACTTAGGAAGACTATTAAAAAATAAACAATCAGCAAGAACAAAGATTTTTGTAAAAAGATGTTTATTGAAAACATTTAAAATAAAATTGAAAACAAATCTCAGATTCTGGTGATTTTGAAATAACAATATAATTAATATTCAGTAAACATTATGTGTGTGTATGTATAATATGATTATCTTTTCTTTCTTTCTTTTTTTTTTGAGATAGAGTCTCATTCTGTCACCCTGGGTGACATGATGCCATCACAGCTCACAGCATCCTCAAACTCCTGGGTTCAAGAAATCCTGCTTCAGCCTCCTGAGTACCTGGGACTATAGGTGCCCGGTGTAGCACCCGACTAATTTTTTATTTTTAGTAGAGACAGGGTCTCACTGTTGCTCAGACTGGTTTCAAACTCCTGAGCTTACAGGATCCTTGTGCCTTGGCCTCCCAGAGTGCTAGGATTGCAGGTATGAGCCACCCGCTGGCCTACAGACTGATAATCTTGAGAAAAAAACCACACAGATAAATTAAAAATGGAAAGAAGCTACAATATACTGATAGCCATTATCTCTGGTGACAGAATGATGATAGTTTTTCTTCTTTGAAGTTCCCATATTTTTCCAATTAGGAAAGGACATGTATTACCAATAAAAAGTATTAAAGGCATGAATGAGAAAAAGGTAAGTTAAGAGTGCGATTCTGTATTTGTTCATTAAAAAAAAAAAAAAACTTGATGCCCATAAAAAGTCAGGAAAATATAAAATGTAAGTGGATATTTCTATGTGGTAGCAATATGAGCAATTTTTATTTTTTCCTTGTTTGCATATACATGGTTTCAATTTTTTTGATGTGAAATACATGAGTAAAAAGTTAAAGTTAAATCCTCAAGGCCTTAAAAGATTTGTAAATCTTTAAGGGACAAACAATTCATAAAAGAAGTACAACCAGTTAGCTGGGTGTTGTGGCGGGCACCTGTAGTCCCAGCTACTCGGGAGGCTGAGGCAAGAGCTGGAAGTTGCTGTGAGCTGTGACACCATGGCACTCTACCAAGGGCAACAAAATGAGACTCTGTCTCTTAAAAAAAAAATAAAAAAAGCAGTATAACCAGTAAATATACATGAAGAAAATTCCAATTACTGGGACTAACTAAATAATGACAAACTACCAAATGATTAAAAAATAATATTAGAGGATATGGCAAAATTAGATTTCATACATTGTTAGTGATCTTGTCAACTACTACTGTCTTCTGAAAGAAAATGATAATATGTAGCAAGAATAAACAAGATGATATGTAGCAAGAATAAAAATGCAGTGGCAATCTACTTAAGAAAATAATACAAAATAGAGAAAATTCCATATGCATTAAGCTGTTGAATACAACATTATTTATAATTTATTAAAAAGCTGGGGGGGAACCCTATATAGCCTACATTAGAAAATATTTAGATCAATAATAGCATATTCAAAAGAATGAAAAATGATGTTATAAATTTAAAATATATGAAAAAACTTTTTGGGAAAAATTGGAAAAAAAAGGGAGGGGGGATAGTGATGAGGTTAGTGATGCTATACTAATTCCTTGGTTTCTTTTCTAAATTTGTTTGTAATATAGCTATCCTAGTTTTACACAGAAGCATATTCATACACATATACATGCACAATAGTAACAAAGTAAAGTTTGTGCTAAAGTGGGAGCTGGGAGCATCAAAGACTGATAGGGTTTTTTCAAAAGTAGATGATCTTAAAATTCCCATTTTTCTATAATAGGCCCTCTCACATACTCTCCATCTAGCTAAAGTCTTCCACTGCCACATTAAATTCAGAGTTTTCCTCTACATGGGTTTCAACCCTTAGCATTCAACATGGACTCCATGATTCACTGTGTGTCTTTTACACTGGTGTTAATGAGGATGCCCTCTCTTCAGTGTATCTTTAATCATTACTATTGCGTGCTAACAACTTCCTCTTTAACAGACCTAAGAGAAGACCAGTAACAGAAACAGCACCATAATCACTTTATTTTCCCTTCTCTACCCTAATTTGTGCCCTTAAGAAATGCATTACTGGGCTCAGTGCCTATAGCTCAACCGGCTAAGGCGCCAGCCACGTACACCTAAGGTGGCGGGTTCGAATCCCCAGCCCGGACCCGCCAGAACAACAATGACGGCTGCAACCAAAAAATGGCCGGGCGTTGTGGCGGGCGCCTGTAGTCCCAGCTACTTGGGAGGCGGAGGCAGGAGAGTCGCTTGAGCCCAGGAGTTGGAGGTTGCTGTGAGTTGTAATGCCATGGCACTCTACCCAGGGGGACAGCTTGAGGTTCTGTCTCAAAAAAAAAAAAAAAAAAAAAGAAATGCATTACTGGGTCGTGCCTGTGGCTCAAAGGATTAGGGTGCCAGCCCCATATGTTGGAGGTGGTGTGTTCAAACGCAACCCTGGCCAAAAACTGAAACAAACAAACAAAAAAATAAAATGAAATAAATGCATTACTATTGCCTGTAGACAAAAACTTCTAGCTCTAATGGACCTGACGCTCAGCGCCCTGCGATCCCTGGTATGCAGAAGTACTGAGAGCGTACACTCATTAAAAACACAAAATGGTACTTAACATGTTTATCTTCTAGTCACTCTTGTACAAGAATCAAAATAGGAATTTCAAAATATCTTTCACTGAGGAACACCTGGCAACTAAATTTCTGAAGCTGGCAAAAAGCCCAGGGCTCCATGTCTGAAATGTCTTTCCCTCTAAGACCCAACAGCAGACCTAGACAGTTGCTGTGCCAGGAGAGAAAAATGCCCCAAGGGGCAGCAGAGCAGATTCCATCTGTTAGCTTTGCCGTCCAGGACAGATAACGAGACTACATTGCACACTTGAAAATCTATTGAGCAGCAGCTCTCACATTAAGTGTTCTTACCCTAATAAATCAAAAAATAATTATAAACCATTTTCTCTCTTTAAAAGGAAGAAAAAAAGGTAGAACATGAAGGTAGAGCATGCTAATTTCTAGGACCAGGACTCTTTTCTCTTGGACAAGAATCAAGGAGCAATTTTTGAAATCCTGAACAACTGTTATAATATCTTATACCATTTCAAACCACAATTCATTTCTGTCCATATAAGTTATGTGACTGACCAAAGCACTGTGGGTCTCGGTATAACTTGACTTCCTCCCAGCAGTAACTCAGAATCACAGCATTAGGCAATGCAGAGCTGGCAGAGATCTCAGAGATTAGATCAGATGGCTCAACAGCTTCACTTAAAATCAACAAAAGGAGGGTGATGACCTTAGTGACAGAGTGCTGCAAACACATCACTCGTCCACAGCCACTCTACATTTACTGTATTTTTCAGATACTGTCTCATTTATTTCAAGATTGTCCTTCGCACTCTCCTTTTCACAGGCTTGAACTTTAAATTCTGAGTATAAAAAAAATTATATTGTAAAAAGTAATTTCTCTACCCCTACTTGGCTACTGCTTATCATCAATCATTTCCTATCCTTATTAATTTGTGTTAATAAATCCAAATATAAATATAGTGCTTTTCTTTACCATTCATTAACAATAAAGTCAACACAGTAATGCACAGTACAGTTTGTTTAGACTTCACGTGTGTGTTATAGCTAAACGAATTATGCTTGGCAGTGGTTATTTTCCAAAGAACAGAAATGATTAAAATTATAAAATAAAACCCTAGCTTGAGAAATACAAAGTAGTAAGAAGGAATCTCAAAAAGTACACATTAAGTAAATTTATATTATAAATAATATTTTAGAAGAATGTACTAACTTTACATTTTTTCCTAAGGGGAGAATAAAAAATTATCTAACAGGACTCCTGTTTTCCTACTGTGATCTAAATATACACTCTCTCTAAGCCAAAAGAATTAGGGTAAAAAGTTTTATACTTCCTAGGAAACTTGTTTGATCTGTGGATTTAATCCTATATGATAAAAATGTTCCAAGTATGAAACATGGAGTATAAATCCTTAGCTGTGTTGCAAATGCTTTGGCATGCAGATGGTTTTTTCCATATTTTAATGAAAACCAGATTTATTTATAAGTTGCTTTAATTTCATTCCCAAATGGAATGGAACAAGAGTATCATATGTTCTGAATTAGGATCTTATTCACATCCCATATCAATTATGTAACTCAAATGCAAGACAGCTTAATTGTGTCAATCATATTCCCCTGACAAGATCATTAAATGTTAACAGAGAGCTTCCAACTTTTAACAGCGAGAGATTTTAAAAATATATATGCATCATGAAAGTTCAGTATAAGCAAGTAATTTTTGAAATTAGAATATTATGAATACAAAGTTTCTTTTTGATAGTATCTTTATAAAGGTTTATATTTCACAAAGGTACATCAAACTCACAGAAAACCCTGAAAATAAGCACACTTGAAAGATATTAATTAAAATATATTTTAAATCAAATCATAATATATTGATCTCTTAGTGGAAATACTGCTATGTAACTCTATCTAGAAATAAACTGCTCTGTATAGACAGTAAAGTCAATTATCATAACATATGCTTAATCATTTTACATCATTAACCTTTAAAGACTAAAAATTTATCCACATTCTAACTAATTAACATAATTAGACATTAATTTCTTTCAAAACTCTGAAATCTAAAATAAGTTAATACACATTACATTTATTTATTTATTAAATCATAGC